ATAAGAATGGTTTGAAGAGTGTAAAGATAAGCTCGTTAGAGATTCGGATGTTAGAGTGGAATAGGGTGAATCTGGTCTGATTTTTAATTAGTAAATCAATTGAGTCACCAGCGTTCATATAGTGCTTTTTTCTTTCGATTTCTGTCAGTCACTATCTCATTCTTATTTTATCTGCCAATTGTATTGCTTCTCTTTGGTCATGCGAATGTAATAGGAATCTCAGATGCAGGATGAGAAGAAAATTTTTGGCTTCCGAATCTCTAACGAGCTTATCTTTACACTCTTCAAACCATTCTTATGAGTTCTACACTTGTATAATCAAAGAAAAATTTGTTTTCACGTTCGACTAAGAACACATTTTTGATTTTTTCTCTCAACGTCTCAGTTGATTACATCTATTAATATTAATGATTCTATATAATGAGTATTCTCAATTTCTTTCTTTATTGACACGGAATGGGTTGATAATTATCACGTTCAGAAATATATGAATTTGCAGTTTATTCATAAACGTCTATAATCAACTGAAACCATGACGAGACTTTTAGTTGTCACTTTTCTCATCTTCTGTCCAACGATTTACGCGGTCCAAGATTCATACGGTATTATGCGTAATATCTCTATTGATGAAACTAATTTAATCACTAAAGGGTGTTTGTCTATAACAGCAAACAATTGTAATGAGTGTTTATGCAAAGCGTATCAAAATACACATGTTATTCTATTCACTTGCATATGATCTTATAATAACTAATAAAAATTTATGGTGAGAGGCAAGATAGTCAATTTCAAGCTCTCATTGATGTTTCATACCTGAAACTCACTGTATAGTTCTACCTTTTTGATTTGGAACTGGTGAGTACATGTAAAACATTTCTTTGAAAAGGACTTTTTAAGGTTTAAAATCAAATGAATTAAGCTTAAATGTCATGATGACTTTGCGAAGAGTACTTTGAAACTTTAAGGAAAAATATTAAGCTGAAGTTCGAGTTACAAGAGGTATTTATACGAAGCGATGCTGTCACGATGCCGCGACCTTCGGCTCTCGGCTAAGCATAAAAGTTTCTCTTGTGACACTTATGGTTTATTTCAACAGAGAAGTGTTTTCAAAACATTATGCGATATACGTGATGAAGGAAGAAGCTCCGTGAGAAAGCTCATGGAACAGAGGGGCTCGTGGCAAGATACTGTGATTGCGGACTGAGACTTACAGGACAGGAGAACAAGTAAGTTTTTGTTAATCTATTCTCGTATAACTTTTAGCCGTCGAAACAACGGTGTTCGGTTATGCTTCAGTAATGCAAGGTACACTAAATGCACCTGACGTCAAAAATATTTTTGATCTATAAACTACCAATGATCGGTTTGTGAATTTATACTTTGCCAAATAGATATTGTATATAAAAATAGATAATGTATGTAAAACAGAAATAAAAATAGTTAAAAGGTTGCTATTATCCATAGTTAGTATCTTCTTGAAACAGAGCTATTGATAATCAATGAATAAGAGTGTCAAATGATGAATAATAACTTAACTACTCATCAATTACCGTTATATTCATCACTGCGATTGTATTATGAAACATTCATATCTATATAATCCACGTACTAGTTCAGTTAGATGAAACTTTTTTTTTTTTCCCTCTTATGCACACTATAGATAGTGACGTAAAGCAAAAAATAGAGAAAAGAACAAATTTTATCGTTTTATCCAAAAGAAAGACTGCACTCATTAGTGTATATTCTGGAAACTTCCCAGATTAAAAAGTTAACAAATTTGAAGGTGGTCCAGTTTTTCTGGCAATTTGAAGTAAACGAATGGTACTCTATGCCAAGCTGCTTTTTAGAAAAGGTCTTTTAGTTTTTAAGGTGTGGAGCTGTCAGTATCACAGGTTAAAGGTAGTAAAATTTATGGACTTCACTTTAATTTTAAAAATCGCACGAACTTTGTTGAATTTTTATGCTCTATAATTCACGTACTATTCCAGTTCGATGAAACAGGGCAATATGACAAAAAAAGAATATGTGCCTAACGAGAATCGAACTCGCTGATAATGCACATCTGGTGTAATGTACTCGATCATTACAAACATAGAGAGCGACATCAGAGAGCGAAAATTATGATGCCTATTAGCCACAGACACTATGATAGAAAGAACAACTTTTAGTTTCCTACCCTTGCACTTCTCCGTATGTTTCAATAGTGAGTGTTCATTTTCAATGAATTTCTTTAACCATACAATTTAATATGCACCAGCTCCAGTTAACTTGAACTGTGAGAACTGGAACTGTTAGAAAAAATTCGAAATAATTGAAAGAAATTTTAAATTCTATTGAAGAAAATGCAAGTAAAACGTCAAAAGCCTTTTAACTCTCTGAAAAACGTATGTTGAAATTAATGAATTCTGACACAGACAATGTTGTTGTTCATGATGTGCAGAAAAAATAAAAGATGTTAATGAATATACTATACTTGATTGAATATCTATAAATAAATAATTAATCAGATCAATATATATGAAACACTTGTAATGTTGGTTCAAGTGATAATTAATTATGTATTTTTTCCTTTCTTCGTATTGTTAAAATATACAAATAATAGACTTATACAAAACGTTACGAACTTATGTGAAAGTTGACTTTTTCCAGGTGAACCATAACGGACATTTAACAGCCACGTAATGCGTTTTAAATGTATGCCAAAAAACTTACTTTTAACACTCAAATAAGTGTTAAAAATCTGCAGGTAACGGTCAGTTTATTGTCTGTTATGTCTGAAGAAAAGGCATTTATGATACCAAAAAATGTTGAAAAAAAGGCGGTTAACAACACATTTGGCTATATACACTTTCTGTATTGTGTAACATAGTAAGTTACTTTTTTTTATTAGCTTTAGCTTGTATATAGTCGAATGTGCTGTTAACCGCCTTTTTTTCAGAAAGTTTTGTTAGAAAGTTCTCTGAAAACTCATTTGGTTAAAACCCACAGTGGCGAATCCTCAGCGGATTTGACAACCATGAATATATTAGATTAGGTCGAATGAGGATCAACAGAGAGACGCAAACAAATGTGTAACAAAACAGAAAAATCTTCTTATAACCAAGATCTTGACTTGTTGGATATTTATGGAAACAACTTGGTAACAAAATGTAAAAACTCAACAAATCTTAAGAAGTCAGGACGTTGGATATCTTCAAACTTCTTGACTTCATGTAAACAAAATCTTGATCATTACTGAATCATCCTTTTGTTTCACGTTCTTGGTTCCATATAATTGCGGATATTTTCGTCTACAGAATAACTTCGAATGTTTTCATTTCTGAACATAGCCATGATCGCATATCTGTCAGTTATGGTTATCATTCACAGAAATGGAGCTCAAGATGCTGAAGCATCTGTTCCCAAGATCTTGGTCAAGATCGTGAGCTCAAGAATGCAAGGTACGCAAGGAAAAAGAACCACATCTTTGATATCTACTGTTGAATATAGTGTAAGACAGCGTGAAAACCTACAGGGGCGAATCTGGGTCCAAAGAACGGGGGGATCCCGACGAGATTTCTCTGAAAGAGGAAGAACTGAACGGAACTGAACTGAGTTTATATTGGCTACAAATAATCATCCACATAGCAAAAAAAAATTAGTTTGTTGCACAAGAGAACAGGAAAAAGTGTGACCTTATAACTAGTCTCACCACCTTAACTAGCGAAAGTAAACAAATAGAAGAACAAGGCGAGAAAGTTCGTATAGGGAAAAATTGCTTGGAAATCTAATAATTTTACTCACATCACACCTCTAACACTTGCGGATGTATGGTACCCACGAATAATACTGAATAACGGAGAATCTCAATAAACTGAAAACAAAAATAATGTAAATGTATACACTTGGAGCATAGGTTTCATCCAACCGCACCTTAGCCCATCACGTCTGAATGGAGAAGTTGCGTTTTAGACTCAAGGTCTGCGCTGATAAGCTTTTTATTATTATTTCACGCCGTTTTTGTAATATTATTCGAACGTTTTTTTGACGTGAAATAAGACATATTCGACCGACAGAATCTGAAAAAGATTCATTTAAAATACAACATTTCTGTAAAATATGAATCTAAATTTGTACTTTCTGATGTCCAAAATCAAAATAAGTCAAACTAAATAAATAAAAAGCATGCATCGAAAAACATTAATAGGAAATACTGAAAATATTTTTTTCTATATTATATCTAAGAAGGATCGCAACATTTTTCAAAGTTAACTCGACAGACAAGACATGATTTCTCTATGCTGTAAGAGACTGTTATTGTTGTTGAAGATACTGTATACTGTCATTGATTCAACAGACATTTACAGGCCTTCTTATCTTCTACCTGAATATTGAGTAAGCATATCATGTGTCTGTCGCACAACAACAAACCGATCAAACTGACTCACGTATTCAAATCATCCTGAATGTTCTGTTGCTTTTTTTTTCTTCTTCAACTGAAACACACATGCACAACACAATCTTTTTTTATTACTTCCTTTTCTAGAGGTGTATTTAATCAATTGATGAAAACAAACTTTTAAATAAAAGATTGAGAGATGGCAGACGGAAGCGAATCGTTTCTAGCTGGCAGTTCAGTAAATGGCCAGGCATCTGCACGCCACCTTGCACAAGAGTTAAAACAAGATATTGATTTTATGGTGGTAGTAGGCAGCGTAACTAACGAAAGTTGTCTAGTAGCATCGGATGTGCCCGGGTTTTTACAAGTGATATTTGATAAAGTAAACGTGAAACAATGTACCGGTGGCACCGAATTACCAATAAAACTAAATTCTTATGGACAAATGTGTGTAGATGGTTTCAAAATGAAACAACAATATTGTGGTCCAACAGATACATATTCTTTTTTTCCAACATCATCTGTTACTATTAATAGCAAAACAGCTGCAAATGCTGCAAATGTATATTATCAAGTTGAATTAAACCCTAGTGAACAACAGCCGTCGGGTGCATTTGCCACACAATTTGCAGAAGCTTTAAACTTAGCTCGACAACAACGAGCACAAGGTAATTTTCATTTATTAAAAGAAAAATACATTCAGGTGTGTAATCATTTTCAACAAATTATGTCCCAAATATTACCACTCTTTGGTTCCACGACTGGTAACATTCGTATTGATATTCAAGATTTAATTGGATTAACGGGGCCAGCATATGAAATTGATATACCACAAGTGAATAAAGCAAGACTCTATGCTTTACTTGAATTTTATCATAAATGGAAATCTATTGGAAATCCAAACTTTTTAGAAGATTTTGGTATTTATGCATCTTCGTTATTGAATTAAGAACCATTCATTTATTACGCAAATGATTGTTGTTTGACTTTTTGACTACTCGCTATCGCTCTCACAGTGACTATTCAAACAGGCACTTCATCGAGATAAAGGTATTCTTTTCTAATTCAAATACGCGATGAGCTTCCTTTCCTAGAATAAATATTTTAAATCTGTTAGAACAATTGAAAAACTTATACTAGAAAACTTACTTAAAAATCAACATGGTATGTGAACATAAGTTTTTGACAATTTCATCAAAAACGAAAGTTGAAGTACTTAATAACGAAAAGTATCACTGCAAGCAACTCGAGCCGAAAAAGTAATTACATTTCAAGCTAACAAAGTTTTCGAAAAATACTCATTCCATATATTGAGGCTGTCTAAGTTAGGGTTCTTGAAATCAGGTTTCAATTTCCACCAAATGTTTCTTCTAACCAGAACGAGAAAGAATTTTCTTCTTCATTCTTTTCGTTTCTCCTAGAAGAAAATAGTTGTTCTCGGTTGTACTGTTCATTATTAGTAATCATTCGGTATTTGTTCTGTCACCTCCTGGATCAAAATCATTTTTACTAGTCTTTGATAAACCTTTTGGAAATACATTTAATGGTACCGATCTAACCGTATCATTTAGATTGGGCTTAAATGCCGAAATAAATAAAGACTCTTTTATTAACAGCCTATACTCTATATTATCTCGATCCACAATACGCCAGTTATCCCAGTCTATTTTATGAAAAGAATCATGCGCATGTTTTTCAAGAGCCGAGTTATCTACAGATGAAATCACATCATAGTCGTCTTCTCCATTATTCAAAACATACCAATCAGGGAGATCCATGCTCTTTATTTGATCCGTTATCATTTTTGAGGCTTCCTTTTTAGCTGTTCTTGATAAATGAATCCTTCCTGACTGAACTACTGGTATTCC